CTCCCCATAATCCCCTGAATTTGGTGACATGATTATTCTGAGTTTGTCACTTCTTCCTAGTCATTAAGTAAGTATTTGTTGTGTGCCAGGTCCTGTGCTTGGTGCAGGAGATTAATTAAATATAATAAGTTATGCCATGCTCCCTGCTCCCAAGGTGTACATTATCTAGAGAGAGAGCTAGATACACACACAGATAATTGTCAGACTACACTATGATACAGTGTTATGTGTTACTGAGAGGCAGTGAAGCTCTATGGTTTCATGCATGGGCTCTGCAGTCAAAAACCCTAGGTGTTTAAAGCATGACTCTGTGATAGTCTGAAACCCTGGTCCAGTTACTTAACCTCCCCAAGTCCTAGTTTCTCCATTTTAAAATGGGGATAATAACAGAATATACCTCATAAGAGCAGTCAGAAGGATTAAACGAGATAATCCATGAAAAGCCCTCAGCCCGGGATGGCAAAATTTAAGCACTTGCTAATTGGTGACTATTTTTAGCTTTTCTGTGAGCTACCTCTATGGTGTGATTATAGTGGCAGATATGATGAGGTCACAAAAGAGGGAGACCTCACCCACTTTATCTACCTGCGTTCAGAGAGAAGTTTGTTAACCTCTCCAACTGCTGCTTGCAATAAATATTATCAACCTCTGGTCTTCTCAAATCAAACTGCAATTGTATTTCAGTTCTGGGGAACTTTTAAGAAGAGGTATCCACCTTAATAACCACAGTCTCAGTGCACAGCAAAGCAAAAGAAATGAGCAGAGAAGAATGCAACATTGAGAAATAGATTCATTGAATGATGTGTGGCCCCACCAAAAGGCCAAGGCTTGGCAAAAGTACAGTTACAAACATAACTGATTTAACTGGATCAAGACACAGAGCAGTGAGTTGGTGGAACGTGAAAGGAAGGCCATATGGTGCCATGGTTGAGTTTGGGTCATGAAATCAGACTGCCATTTGCTCCCTGTGTGTGATCCTGGACACATTATAGCCTGTCTGAGTCTGAGTGTCTTGTCTGTAACTGTGAGAGTAACCATTATAAGCTTTTCACAGGATGGCCAAGAGGACGTAAAAAAATGAAATGCATGTATGTCTGAGTAACACTTTTGAGGGAGGAATTTGTGCCTAGCACATAGTAATCTCTGAATAAATATTAGCTGTTTGTTGTAAAGATAGTCAGGTCTCTCTGTGGCTGGAAAAAGACAGAGTGGACATTTCCATGACTTTTTTTTTCAAAGGGGAAAGGGACAGGAAACAGTACTTATAATTAAATCTCCCTGGGTCTTCTACGAATAGGAAGCATCTACAAAAAGAAGTCAGGAGTCGTTCTTTTACAAAGTCCAAGGACTACAGTGAAGGGTGAAGTTTCATGTCAACACCAGTGACAGCCCATTTCCACTGCATCACCCATCCTCAGTCCCAGCTAAACAGACTGGGTGTCATTGAACCCAGATCCTTATTTGTGAGCTTATGACTCATGCAACTACACAGGTCCTACGCTCAGACCTCTGTTTGGTTTAATGCTCTGCATTGCCATCTTGAAATTCTTAATTATTTTACCCTTCACCCTGTTTGTTAAGTGAAGTTTGATGGAACAATGGAGCATGCATTTGAGCAGAACTACTCTGAAAAAGAGAAAGACTCTATATTTCAGTACCCTTAGTAGCACTTTCTCCTGCTTTTTGAAGAAGAAGCCCCACATTTTCATTTTGCACAGGCCTTGAAATGACATAGCCCAACCTGATTAGACTGGAGACTTTTCTCTTTTTGCCTGCTTCACTGGGCCAGCCTGCCATTTTGAAATCTGATGGGTAAATTGGGATTCAGCAGTGACCTAAAAACTTGAGGTGAGCCAAGGGTCATGGTGGGAAGCCAAAAGCACAGCTGCAGATCTGGGGGAAAGGAAAAGCCACTCAGTGTCCAAATGGACTGGGTGGTCAGGGCAGCCTCCAGTGGCTTGAATTGCATCCAACTGACAGGGTGGAGGGCTCACTCTGCCCTACAGTCTGAGTCACGTTGAATGCCTGATGAGCTGAGCATCCTTGGGTAGCAGCAAACCAGTTCCCACAACAGTATCATAGAGATACAGTGTGGGGGGTCCCCGGGGGGCACTGAAATCAAGGCCTCTTTGTGGCTTGGTGTTAACGCATCTCATTCCAGAACTCTTTTGATTTCCAGAAGGAATCTTCCTCATCTCCATGACCAATCATGATAAATGCCCAAAGAGATTAATAGCACAATTCATCACAAAGAATAAATGAATGATCATGGTTTTTGCCAATATTGCTAATTATTAATAATGCTTGTTATTGGTAATTATGACAGTATTAGCAGGGAAAGCTGTAACATGGGAATTAAGGGATTTGGGTTCTAGCCAGCTTGGTCAAAATTCACGGGAGTAAAACGGACAAGATCTTGAGTTTCTTCTCAGTTTTCTTATCTGTGAAATGGGGATGATAACTATTTTACTACTTACACTGTGTAGTAGGAAGGCAATGTCATAGATTCTTAATACGTGTTGAATGGATAACACAAAATAGAAGTGATCATCACAGTTACTAGAATATATCTTACATATCCTTATTTTGGGGAGAGAAGGTAGCCAAATTTTGTTGGGTTCTCATGCTCTTTCAAGCCTGTTACTATTTACTTTTTATTTTTTATCCTTTTATTTATTTATCTTTATCTTATTTTTATTTATCTTTATTATGTCACTACTCTGAAATTTTAGAGCTGAGCACACTGAGGTACAGGGACATTAATTACTTGCCCCAAGTCCTACCGTTCATAAGTGACTAACCAGGATTTGAAGTAAAGGTGTCTGATTCAAAACCCTATACTTTGTCATGTTGCTTTTGCTAATAAATTGATTCCCTGTCTTAGGAGTTTTCTGCAGTAGCTGGTGACCAAAATTAGGAGCTTCTATCTGTACATCTAACATTGTGCTGTTGTGTTTGGAACCTGTTGCTTCTTGTTCTGTCTTTTTGCATATCTTCTCCCTTTCTCAGTCATGACTATTGGGTTTTCCTCAATGACTTTTTATCCCTTGGCTTCCAATCTGGGCTCCTCCTTACCTCCACTTTTCTGGTGCTATCTTGTCAACTTTCTCTAGATTCCTCATGCCTTTGAGTTTAGTCAACAGGATTTATTTGAGTGCAACCTGGAGACTAGAAGTCATTTCTATCATTCACAGAAGTAGAAATACAACCAACAAGCAGAGTAATACATTCAAGCCTGCTATTAGTCAAACAAATGCCCATGAAAACACCAAAGACAAAGTAAGCCAGAAAAAAAAGTGAATAGGGGCATCCCTTGAAGGCAAGAAGCACTGTGATTCGCGCTCATTCCCAGATGCTGGGACAATGGTTGCCACCTTTGTGGAAAGTATTTTGGGAATCGGTATCCCAAGACTTTGTTCATTGATGAGCAGAATTCCTGCAGCATTTTAAGAGCAGTATAATGTTTATTGATATTTCCCAAGGAAATAATCAAAGATGAAGTTTAAAAAGTCATGTCCAGCCCCATCTCAATAATAGAACAATGGTTAAATAAATTATGATGTACCTATAAGGAATTATATTATAGGGTCATTAAAAATAATATTATAATGTATATTTTACAGTATGGATGTTGGCCATCGTATAAGGCTAAATGAAAAAAAAAAACCTCTATACAAAATTATATCTATTCCTGTTTCCTAGTTCTGTAAAAGAATGTATATTTGGCATCACTTATTTATTCACCAAATATTTCTTAAGTGTCTTCTATGTGCTAAGCACTATGCTAAGTATGCAACATAAGCAAAAAATATCCAATCAGAGGATTCAGCTATTGAATAATCACACAGAAATAAGTAATTACAAATCCAGTGATTGCTAGGACAGAAAATTAAACAGTATGTTCCAGAGAACTTAACACCAGACCACATTTAGACTGGGAGACCAGGGATGGGAAAGTGTTATTGAAGCTGAGCTCTGAAGAGGTAGCCAGGTGGGGAGAAGCATTGCCAACAGAGGGAAGCATGCATGCAGGGGCCCTGAGGTGGCATAGTTAGGAGCAGACAAGTGGGAGACTACACGCAGTGGGTCTGGATTGCACCCTGGGGGCTCAGTGCAATCCAGTGGACACTTCTGGAAGATGGCACTGACTGTAGGTACAGAACGGATGGTAGGGCTCTGTGATAACAATGATGAGTAGAGGAAAAGGCCCCGTCTGAGGGACCCATCGGCGGCTCGTGTCCACCCCGGCTAGCACCCCACCCGGAAGCTGGTTAAGCCAGGCTCTGCTCTGAGGAGATCTAAGACTCAGATTTCCACAGACAAGTAGGAAAGGGCATTTCCCTCTTCTCCTCCTTCTACCTTCCACTCCTTTGAGCTCCATCCATTACTCTATTCAACTCATCTTTGAATGCCAGAGGAAATGGGGCCCCCCGCCTCCCCAAAACGACTGACGTATTTTAAAACATATTTTATTTTTTGTTTTGTTTTTTATTATTATGTTATGTTAATCACCATACATTACATCATTAGTTTTTGATGTAGTGCTCCATGATTCATTGTAAAATGCATTTTAAAGTTGGATGTTGGCTCTGACCAAATGAAGCCCTATCTCAAAATCTAGAACTGCAGTTTCCAAGAATTAGGGATTCAAAGGATACAAGGAAATATTCGTGGCGACCCTGAAATAGTTTGTAAGGATAGCAAATGCACGGGGAAGAGTTCTCGACAACTCGATTCCATACTAATTCCAAGTGATTCCTGGTAGTGCTCTGTGAAGACCCGTGGCAACTTTCTGAGCATCTGTCTTGCATTTGCCTAACAAGTTAATTAACACTTTTTGTCACTCCAGCAGCTTTGGAGGGGAGGCAAGGGGAGGGGGATGTGACAGCCAATGCTGCCTTGGGTTAACCCTGCATTCCCCCTACTCGGGAGGAAGGCAGCTGCATTTAGCATTGTCAAGGCAGAGGGCTCCGCACTGACCTTTCTGATTCTGTCCGCAGCTGGGGCACCCAGGGTGACTTCTCGACGACCCACGCACTGCCAGCTGTGAAGGTGAAACTGTTCACAGAGAGCACAGGGGTCCTGGCCTTGGAGGACAAGGAGCTCGGACGGGTAAGCACTGCCCATCACAAGGAGCTCCAGAGAGCTGTGTCCCCAGGTCCCAAGAGGCAGCACTGCCAAGTACTGAAAGGTCCAGCTTCGGGTTTGAATCCACAAGCTCTACTCTCCATTGACTGTGTGACCTTGGGCAAGTCCCTCAACCTCTCCACCCTCCATTTCTCCTCTTAAATCTGGGCTACCAATAGTGCACCCTGCAGAAGATACAGCAGGGGTTCTCTGCACCCTCAGACCCAGACACCCTTTAGAGCAAAGAGTTGCAATGCCCTTCCCATCCTGCAGTGAAATTCTTGGAATAATTTAACAAGCAGGCCCACCTAACAATTTAAAAATCAGTACAATGACATAATATGAAGAAGAAATAAAAGGGAATTAATTAATAATAAAATAACTTCAAAATGTAAAGATTCAGGCACAACTGCACTAGAAGACCTAAAGAAGGAACGCTGTCCTTGTTCCGACATAGGGGACCACTCTGAAGGTCACAGCGACAAAACCCGCCATGGAAGGGAGAAGCTCCGAAGCTTAAATGTCAGTAAACTGATTTCTTCAACCCGCCCACAAGTCTTGGTAACACGGTTTCCTCAATTTCCCTGGAAAAGTGCCAAAAATACTTTGAGTGTATATTGTTCCAAATTACAAAAATTCAATGTAGTGAAGTTTAAAGATCTAATTGGCTTATTAAATGATTCATGAATCAGGCAGGATCCCATCTGCAAGTAGAGGGAGCTCCAAGAAGATGTATGAAAACCAAGGTTTCTGCAGAAGGATGAGGGGGAAGAAATTACCAGCAAAAGAAAAGGATTGTTTTAGGCAAGGTGGCTTTCCTTTAGGGGGAAAAGTGAGGGGTCTTATCACACAGATGACCCCATCTCTCTTTGGGGAATGGAGAGGGCCCAAGTAGCAGACTCACCAGCCCTGACCGAAAACTTCCTGACTGAGCCATTAAGACTACATTTCTGGGGGGGTTGAAACTGCAGTTAGATTATGTCCTGAGCACCGGTTTGGGAACAAGTAACACCATTTGATGCCTGTGGTTTTCTTTTTAACAATATGTAAAGAAGATTTAAGATCTAGACTCAGTTTGTTATAAACAGGCTTTTCCACCTGCATTCCCACCCGGTGGGAATATTCAGAAGTCGGGTGAGATGCAGGACGATTCCTCACTGGGGAGGAACATCTCATTCACTGCATGACGTGTAGTATCCCTGGGCCCCAGCCATTCAATACCAACAGAGCCCAGCACCATTATTTTGTTGACCAAAATTGTCCCCCAAATTTCTGAAGCATCCCAAAGTGTGGTACCAGTCCCTTTGAGTACCACTGAGATAATAAAGACATTTCTTTTTACTTCTCAGCCATTGACTCTGCACCAGGCAGCCCATCTCTTCAGAATGTAACTTAGATTTACTGGCTTCAAATGCTTCCATCACTCCACAGTGCTTACAATAAAATTGGAACTCGGCAGCACTGCCTACAAGGATGCATATGATCTGGTGTCTGCCCACCTCCTCGGCCTCTTTTGTTGCTACCTTTCCCCTCATCCACTATGCGTCAGTATCGGGGCCAAATCTTAGTCCACCGAATAAACCACTCCTTCCTGCATTGGAGGGCTTTCTCCCTGCCTGGAGCGGTCCCCACTACCCAGCTCTCCAAAAGGCTGCCTCCTTCCTTACATACATGCCGCTTCCTCAGAGAGCCCCTTCCTGACTGCCCATCTTCCTTCATTCACTACCCCAGCCACCCGTCCACTAAACTTGATCACCAATGAGAGAAAGAAAGAAGAATTTACAGAAATTTTGGCTTCTGTCTCCCACACTGGACTACGAAAACCCCATGGGCATAGAACCCTAAACTATTCCGTTCACTACCCCATACCCCGACCCCAGCACAGAGACTCCCAATACATTTCATTCCATACTGGTTGGTTGCGTAATCCCTTCCGAAAGCTGTCTGACCTCAGCCAAGCGTTCAGCCTCTCTAAGCCCCTGGTGTGTCATCAGTGGAATAATGTGAGAACAAGTGCATAGGCACACAGCCCTAACAAGGCCAGCAAGAACACGGTAAGCAGGCTTTCTTCTTTCGTCCTTTCGTGCCCACTTGATCTGGCTTTCATCTATAGAGCTGACCCGGAATCATATTACTAGGATGTAGACCAGGATATTAGTGTTAGAAGAGGCGAGTCTAGGAGTGCTCAGCCTGAGTCCGCAGAAGGTTCCATGGAATCCAGGAACCCCTTGAAATGGTTTGCAAACTGTTGAGGTGGGGAGGGGCATATGTGCGTTTTTCTGGACTCACGAGTCCAAAGCATTCACCAACTTCTCAAAGCTGTTTCCACTCAGGAAAGTTAAGCCCTCTGGGCTAGTCAAACCTTTTTATTTTATAAATGAGAAAACAGATTCCCATGGAAGGCAGGAAGCTCCCCCAGAGCCACCCAGTGAGGGTGGTGCCCAGGCGCTGTATGTGCGCCCGTCCCTGAGGACGCTGTGTAGCCCCCTCCCTGATGCTCCATGATAACCCTAATTAGTTATTACTCATCCTGCCCAGATGAGTGCACTGGGGCCCAGAGGAGGCAAGTAACGTGCCAGGAATGATGTTGACTCATCTCCAGGACCATTTCCACTGTACCACTTTGTCCCTATGCAGAAATAAAACCCTCAGCTCTGCTGCTGTGATGAAGGCCACGGGCTTGCCACAGCCCCATACAGTTATTCATTTCTTAAGAACTCATTCTCTCCTCCAGCCCCATTACCTATTTCCCCAGATAAGAATTTACTCTTCCGGGGGGAAATCGGAGGGGGAGACGAATCATGAGAGATGATGGACTCTGAAAAACAAACTGAGGGTTCTAGAAGGGAGGGGAGTGGGAGGATGGGTTAGCCTGGTGATGGGTATTAAAGAGGGCACGTTCTGCATGGAGCACTGGGTGTTATGCACAAACAATGAGTCATGGAACACTACATCAAAAACTAATGATGTAATGTATGGCGATTAACATAACAATAAAAAAATTTTAAAAAAAAAGAATTTACTCTTCCTACCAAAGAAGCTTTCCACCAGTTGCCGTGGAACCTGCCTGTGTGGTCCACATGCCCGCTGGGCCGCCCTCTGCTGGCGGCCCCTCCGCACGCTGCTGCTGGCGAGGACTGCTTTCTGTTTTAAAATGAAGCAATTTCTTGTATCCCTGAGGGAGTATTTCTATGCTCTAATTGTTCCCAAGCTTAGCAGGACACAGCCACATTTAAAATCCCAGTGCTACATTCATTCATTCAACAATATCTAGTTTGTTCTATATTCATTATGCTTCATTTTAATCAACTTTTTAATTGAAAAAATAATTCATGTGCTGCAAAAAAAATTTTTTTAATGGGTATTAGTGAAAATGAATGATTCTTCCCACCTTGCCCTAGTATCTTTTACAGAGAAAAACCTTGTTTTCAGTTTATTGTGTATTCTTCGCCCAGTATTCCACACATGTACAAGCATAGCATGTACAAGCATATGTATATACATCCCACGAAAGAAAGAAAGAAAGAAAGAAAGAAAGAAAGAAAGAAAGAAAGAAAGAAAGAAAGAAAGAAAGAAAGCGCACAGCTGGAAGTTACTGTATACATACTGCTTTGCACTTTGCTTGAAGTATCAGTATATTCGGAGATTAGTCCATGTCAGCCCATGCTGACGTGCTTCCTGTTTTCATAGCTGTGTAATATTCCATGTATAGATGGATCATAATATATTTAGATTGTTTCCAGTCTTTGGCTGCATAAACAATGCTTCAGTGAATAGCCTTGAATTTATTTCTTTGCACATGTGTGTGTGTGTATGTGTAGGATAGTTTTCAAAAAAACGTTTTGCTGAATGAAATTTGAATTTTGACAGATACTACCAAATTGTCCCTTGAAGAGTATACACCAATTGATATTTCCACAAAAGGCATAAGTGACTGTTTCTCTACATGCTTACAAATACTGTAATATTATCAAACTTCTATTCATGGGATAGGATTGTGAGCCCATGGTGTCCCATCATTTGTGGCATGCACAGAGCAAACAGAAATAATGACAGGCAAAAAGCTCTGACTTCAAAAAACTTAAGGGATATAGACATAAAAACGGAATTATAGTGCTATGTGGTAAGTGGTCTCTAGAGAAAGAACACCTGGGAGAACATAGCCAGCGGACGTAACCCAGTCTGATCGTCAGGAATGCCTTCCCCGGGTCTGAGGTGGATGCAGAGAAGGATATATAGGCTAAGGCTTGGAGAGGATCAGTCAGGTAAAGCCTCAGGGTAAAGCAGCCCCCCAGAAGGACCTGCCTATGCGCCCAGGTAACAAAGAGAAGCTGAGGCTGGCTGGCATGCAGCTCGCTGCACAGAGTGGGTTGTGTTCCCACATCAGCATCACCACATCAAAGCACAGCATACATGGGCCTCGGCTGAGATGACAAAGTGCTTGATTAGCAGCCTGGAATGTCCAGATGAGGTGTCTGGACTGCTTAGGGCTCATGTGCACCCAGGAGGACCCTAATAATTCAGCAGGGCTGACACATACAAAGGAGTCGTCAACCCGTCAGGCACATGGCAGGGTGGAGATGAAGATGGAGGAGAACTGCAGTGACCTCATCTCTCCATCTACCCCGGAGAGGAAGTCTCCCTGGGGAGCCACCATGTGGAAGAAGAAGTCTTTGTGGAGGGGCCAGTAATGAGCTGTGGTCATTTGTGTCGGCGAATGGACACCATATTGCCAGTGGGAAACACGCCCAGAATCCATATGGTGGAAGGCCTGTTAACGAGCTCCGGGTGCCCAGAGCACTGCTCCTGCTTTGATTTTGCCAAATGGGCAGGAGCAGAAGGAGGCTCAGGGCCTTGCCTGCTGCTGTTCTGGCCCTGGCTGGGCTTTCTCTTACCAGTCCCTCCTCCTCATTGGTTCCCAGCACATCACCCCCCCTCACCCCTCAGGCCAAACTAGCTCAGGAAAGAGGGTCAGCTTCCCTGGGATCAGCAGCGCCCTTCTCTTCATCTCCCCAAAGCTGGGGTCCCAGGAAATGGAACACCATATAGAGTGACATATAGGGACAGGCATTCTCTTGAGGGGAGGGAAGGGTCTCTGTTGCCCAGCGGCACCCTGACTTACTTGCCTCCAGCATCCTACAACATACTACACTTCGCTGGTACCATTTATGTCAGTTGATCCGTTTGATGATAGAATTTTAATGGAATTAACCCTCACAGAATGAATAAATGGCCTGCAAATATTACTACAAAAGTGCTATAATCTCAGGATGCTACTAGTATTGCAAGCCTGGCAAACAGCGCAAAAATGGTGGAGCTGACACCCACCCTGCTAAGCAGGCATGCTGTCATCCGCATCGTGAGATAAAATCACTGCCAAAGTAATCAGATAGGATAGATGTCAGTCAAGAGATTCTGAAATGATTTACAAGACTACTTGAGCTACAGATTTACTTCCAGTATCATGAACAGTGAGCCTTGCCCTAAATATATGGGGTACCTTAAAATATGGCTAATAATAGTATAAAGCCGCCACAATTAGCAAGATACTTAAAAATATAGCTTTTTATCTTTAGCTCATCTTTAAGACTTCTTTATTTGTGTATATGTTATGCTACATGTAACAATGTAATATATTAATACAAAGTAAGTGTATATAATATAAATATATAAAATATAAATATAATGATATATATTTATATAACATATAAATAATGATATTTTATATATTTGTATATTGATGGTCATATATTTTTATATCGATAGCCGTATATTTACAGAAATTGGGCTATTGGCTCAACATATTTTACTGGCATAGGGCATGATCAAAAAATCTTTGGCAGCCTCCAGTCTAAAAAATCGGGCCTCCTATTTCAATCATGCCATAAGACATTGAGAAGACTCAAATTTTGCATTTAGCAAAAATGATCTATTTTCTTTCATCAGAGAGAGGGAATTCAGGCCTGGAATGAGAAGGGGTGAAAAATCAGCACAAACAAGACCCGTCAGAGGGGGCCGATTTTGTGTTTCCGCCCAGCCCTCCCGCTCTTCCTGAGCTCTCATTGCGCCACCTCGCGGGAAGCCATCGGCTCCCACCCTCCCTACGAGCCAGGCTTACAGGCGGACGGTGAGGCTGACAGCATCTGGAAGGCCGGGGTGTCTGCCTCTGAGGCTCTAAGCCCCTCCCGTCCCCCTGCAGAGGTGCAAGCAGCCCAGGAGAGAGGCTGCCTTCCCCTGCACCTAGAGAAAATAGATGCTGTGGAAACAGAGCCAAAGCCCACGTGCAACAAAGCAGGGCACGCTGCCACCACAAAAGCAAATCTTAGCAAGCCCAGCTTTCGTTGTGCCTATATTTAGTGCCTGTTCCCTCAGCTTAGGGGATTTTCCAGATAGTTCGCTCCTGCCTGAGTGCATGTTCCTCGGATCCCATGTGGCTCCTGAGAACTCGGGTGGCAAAATGAAGAAGGGGATGTGCTGAGTTATCCATAAATCTTTGCCTCGCTTCCGGCCCTGGAGGCAGTGAGAACCAAGCAGGAGACCCACATTGAGAGTAGCATATCTGAAGCATAGAGTGAAAGACACTTTCAAAGAGCCCATCCTTCCTGCTGTGTGTGCTTCCTTTCAAGCCAAGACAGAGCTGGGTGTTTTGTGACAGAGATGTCGAGTCCTGGTGAAATGGTGTGCAAATGTGTGAGTGTCAGCAAGACCCTTCCCTTCCGTAGGTCTCACATAAAGTCCCTTCCATTTTCCCCTGTGTCCTTTGAGGGATGTCTCCTCCTGAAACAGGAGAAGGAATCCTGAGGAGTAGAAAGATGAGCGGACGAGAGGTGCCCTAATGTGTAAGGATATTTCTTCCTTTCATACATCTATCTTCTTACAGGGAGAGAATCGTGTGTGAACATTGTCTGTTCTGGGTTGTGTTAGGACTTCTGAATTTTAGGAAAATGCAAAAGCAGAATCACAGAAACCATGATCCTGACTTTTGCTGAATTAGCCAGGGGAGAGAGAAGAGAGCAAGAGAATACCATTTCTGTCCTCGAGCTGGTCTGCTTGGTACGAGGCAACCACAGTTGGTAGTCAGAGCCTTGGATTGGAGTCCAGCGGCCAGGCTTTGCTTTATTTAAATGCCTGCCAGCTATGGGAGCTGGACAAGACACTCAGCTTCTCAGCAGCAAAGTTTCTCATTGATTAAAAACATGCCCATGACCGGGTTTCCATTTTCTGGCTAAGATGGTTGTCCTTTTTCCCTACAGGTTATTCTCCATCCCACCCCAAACAGCCCCAAACAGTCAGAGTGGCACAAAATGACAGTCTCCAAAAACTGCCCCGATCAAGACCTCAAAATCAAACTTGCTGTCCGAATGGATAAGCCTCAGAACATGAAGCATTCTGGGTAAGTGTTTCTTCTCCGAGTGGGAGTTTTAGAGAAATCTCCATCCATATTTTCTAAAATAATTTCTAAAAAGAAAAACTGATCTTCAGAGAAGTACATGGAAGGAAATATAAAGGATTCATGAGAGATTACTATAAGCTTCCTCAATTCTTATGATTACCGTATGTGCATTTGTGCTGTCGAGATAGAATAATTTCCTTCTTTTCTAATAGGATTTCCAGTACAATTCAAAATGTTCCCAGAAGCATGCTGGGTGGTTCCGGTTTAGGAGGTTTTATTGGCTTTATGTACCTTTTCAGTGGCATCTAGATCTTTCAGACTATATGAATCATCCAATTTCACCTTCATGAACAGCCACATCCAAGAGACGTGAGCAGATACTATAGGCGACATTCGAACGTTCAATTCACATTGAATCAGTGTTAGTGTTTAGTGTAGTCTTTAAATAAATGACCAAAACATAGAAAATTTATGATCACCTTCAGTTTCTTAAGGTTGAGAGACATGAGCAATTAAGTGATTTCAAGTAGCATAAAATAAGTAAAATAAGTTTTATTTCACAGATCAATGATTTTTACAGAAATTGTTTATTGACAACAGGGTATATGCCATGGTCTATTAAACTGCTTGGACCCCACTATCTCAGTAAATGTGAATGTGTCACTTAGAGAGAAGTTGGGCCATATAACTCTGAATGGGGCGGGATATCTAACCAGTGGAAGGAAATGGATTGTTTTTCAGGGATTCTGCAGGTACCGATTGCCATTCTGCTTAACCCTTCTGGTCAGTAAATACGTCTCAATTCTCTTGGGGTGTGTGCATTTATGAGATGGTTTAAAATGATAAAATTGACATGAAAACTGAGAATTGGTTATGTGCTCGAGGCTTGGGGAATGCAAAAACCCAACACCAGGGACTAGCCACTGATTAAGACAGATTTAAATAGAGACTTTAAACAGGTCCAGGAGGGAGCAGTCAGGACAGGAAGTACACGCCCCAGCAAATGAGCAGACCACAGCAACATGTGGCTGGGGAAAAAGAACAGCATTCCAGCTTTGGTGCCTTGGAGTTGTAGGGAACATGGAACACTCAAGGTTCTAGAGAAAGATAGATACCTCCCAGTCAAGGCACTGGAGGCCTCAGGCATGGGGAACTCCAGAAAAGAAAAGGTCTCCCAACAAGCTGGAGGGCCAGTACTGAACCTGAGCTATGGCATGGACTTAGAGAATTTGCATGGCATTATCTTGAAGCCAAACTATTCCCAGAGCCTGAGATGGGATTATGCCAAAACTCTTCTGCCTGTGGCCATGGGAAGGCCATGGGAGAGTGAGCTAGACCCTTGCTACACATGTAGTCTTTTTTCAACCGTTCGTGATGAAGGGCAGCCAGCTTCTCTTCAATCAAGTTAGCATCTCACGAAGATATCTCATGAAATGTTTGTGAAGTCAGCTTTTCCTCTTTGTTATCATACTCCTGGCATATATTCCAAAAATGTTAAGTGGAATTTCTCCCCCGTATTTCTTCCCCCTTGATGTTAACATTCCAGTTTCAAGACAATGGGTTTGAGAATTCTTTTAGGTCTCTATAGCACACAGGAAAAGATTCTGCATCTTTAGCAAAATATTGGCTCATAAATACTCAGTAACTATTTGCTAAAGGAACCAGAGTGTGAGTGGGCAGGATGGAAGGAGACAAGAGAGAGAGAAAGGAGGAGGGTAGGACAGACCAAAGAGAGAGACCGAACAAAAATATGATTGAATGTGTCTGTCCTCAAAAGTTCAGTCTTTTTTTTTTTTAAGATTTTTTTTTTATTCTTATGTTAATCCCCATACATTACATCATTAGTTTTAGATGAAGTGTTCCATGATTCATTGTTCGTGCATAACACCCAGTGCTCCATGCAGAATGTGCCCTCCTCAATACCCACCACCAGGCTAACCCATCCTCCCACCCCCCTCCCCTCTAGAACCCTCAGTTTGTTTTTCAGAGTCCATCGTCTCTCATGGTTCGTCTACCCCTCCGATTTCCCCCGCTTCATTCTTCCCCTCCCGCTACCTTCTTCTTCTTTTTTTTTTTCTTAACATATATTGCATTATTTGTTTCAGAGGTACAGATCTGAGATTCAACAGTCTTGCACAATTCACAGCACTTACCAGAGCACATACCCTCCCCAGTGTCTATCACCCAGTCACCCCATCCCTCCCACCCCACCCCCCACTCCAGCAACCCTCAGTTTGTTTCCTGCAATTAAGAATTCCTCATATCAGTGAGATCATATGATACATGTCTTTCTCTGTTTGAAAAAGTTCAGTCTTTTTAAACTTCCTTCAGGGATCAGTAGCTGAACCCAACTTCTCAGCCCCTTTGAAGCACCAAACTAGGAGTTTTCCAAGTACTCCCACATTCAATCCCCACAGCATACTTTACATGGGTATTAATTTTTCCATGGGACACATTCCCATTTCCCACGTTCTCTTCATTTACTCTGTTGGAAACTGAACTGACTGATCTGAATTCACTGATTTTTCTGTTGATTCATTTGTAAAATTATTGAGACATTTCAGGCTACCTTGACCCTACAGATGACAGAAGAAATATGTAACTCCCTTCTGACAGCTTACATCACTATTTCATATTACTAGCCTGCCATGTAAAAATCACCCCTCTGGCAGGAAATAACAAGGAAGGCCTAAGGGAGCCCTGAGAAGTAGCCAATAGCTTTCTTACTAACATTGTCAGACCCAATGTGGCCTAAATCAGGCATGCACAGCATTAGTTGTGCAAGGGGTGACTCAAGGAAAATAAAAATGTTTATTATGGACTACAATTTTTTTTCATTTAAAGTTAAAATAGCTTTATTGGGCCCTATTGTGTGGGGAAGAAGGAGAGAAATATCAAAATAGTGTTAGAGCTTAAAGAATAGTAGAGAGGAGGGAATTAAAATGCATGGCTGAGGTTATAAATTTTATCTTCTTTCATGTTTACCAAAACATAAAAGGAAAATCAGAATTACTGTGAATGAGTCCTTGTTGGCGGACTGTGGTTCCTTGAATGAACCACTGGGCCACTCAGAATAACTTTCCTTATTGAACAGAAAAATGTTATTGAGAAAGTCAACACTACTTTCTGGCCTTAAGACATTAGGATCTGGGCCTATTGACAAGGAGCAAGTCCTCGGAGAGTAATTTTTCATATTTTACATCCGTATGATGTTTTCAAGCTCAGCAAGTGTATTCACATGCACTTTCTCATTTTATCCTTGAAATAGCCTCACAGGGACTAGGTATCATTATCCTCCCATATTAATACATGGCCTCTCCCTTCACCCAGTTGCTCAGACCAAGAACCTTGGGGTCATCTTGGACATTTCTCTTTTGCTTTTGCTCTTCATCTCATCCATCAGCAAATTCTGTTCACTGCACCTTCAAGATAAACCTAGAGTTCAGCCTCTCCTCATCACCACTGTATCACCATTTGGATCCAAGCTTCCATCCCTCTTCCCCTTCACGTGTGCCCTTACTCTGTAAGCAGGCCCCCTACTGCTGTCCTTGCTTCCCTGTAGTCTGTTTCCCACCATGAAGCAAGAGTAATTTTTTTAACACACAAGTTAGATCATGCCACTCCAATGCTGGAAAACCTCTAATGATCCCCCATCTCAGAGTATAACCCATTGTTGTTACCATGGCTATGAAGACTCCACTGCCTACCTGACCTTGATCACTCCTCCAGCCACATTGGCCTCCTTGTTCTTCCCCAAAGACTCCAAGTGCACCTGCACCTCAGGGCCCTTGTCCCCACTCTTCCCTCTGCCTTGGATGCCTCTTCTTCTCCACCCAGCTTTCTACATGGCTCACCTGATTTCTGCATGACTCTGTACCATATCAGAATGCCTTCCTTTCCTAGCCCACGTGTGTCCTCTCTCTTTCTCTTACTCTGCTTTATTTTCAGGAGAGCACTTATCATCATCTCACACATCACATATTTCTTTATTTATTGGTTTGTCGTCTCTCTTCCCCCTTGGACTGTGAGTTCCTTGTCACCAGGGAAATTTGTCTCCCTTGTTCAAAGTAGCTCTTACAGGGCCTGCCATGTAGTAAAAGTCTAATAAATTAGCCTATTCGTGTGTAAATGAATAAGTGAATGAATGAATCCCACTTTACACATAGGGAAACAGATGTGGAGTGGTGAACAGACTTGCCCAAATGAGATTATACATTGGAGCTGGGTCTAGAATTGTGTTATTCTAACAAAGGACCCAAAACTTGAATGAAATACAGAGCTCCCGTGATTCCACTCTGGATTCAGTTAATGAACCACAGTACACCAACCCAGAGTAATTTACAGCAAATCTGATTTTCCTGTTATGCTTCAACGAAACTTGAAGGGGTTACAGTTTATAAGTCTCAGCCATGCTTCTTAAAAATCCCCTCTCCTCTTCCATGTTCTTAGCTGTGCCACTACTCTAGACCTCTTGTTCTTCAAAACTATCACACTTCTCTCTCCTCCCTGCAAATCTCCAAAACACCACTCAGATTGGCACAGACTCTCAAACAAGACTACTACTACTGACGTAATTGAATAGTTTTAGGATTCCATTTTCTCTCCCTTGTTGGCTTATTTTCTATAAATGTCAATTAAATTAAGTTGGTTGGTAGTATTGTTGAAATCATCCAAAAACTTAAGAACTTCCTAGCAATTATTGAGAGAGAAGTATCGTAATCTCTGACTATCATTACAGATTTGTTTGTTTCTTCTTACAATTCTGTCCATGTTTGTCTCATTTATTTTGAAGCTCTATTCTTTTTTTTTTTTAAAGATTTTATTTATTTATTTGACAGAGAAAGACACAGCGAGAGAGGGAACACAAATGGGGAGTGGGAGAAGGAGAAGCAGACTCCCTGCCAAGCAGGGAGCCCGATGCGGGACTCGATCCCGGGACTCCAGGATCATGACCTGAGCCGAAGGCAGTCGCTTAACCCACTGAGCCACCCAGGCGCCCG